TGAGGTTGAGGTTTAAAGTCAACTCGGTTTCGATACGATGAACAAAAGTGTTCATATCGTTGTATTTATACATGCGAAATTTCTCACCTGAACGTTAATTCGCGATTTCACGTTCATGCGAGAGATACAAGAAGTGATTCCCCCGCCAGTCCATGGTCACGTAAAACGGAGAGGCCAGATTTTTAAGGCTGTTAAATGAAGAGTCGCCGTTGAAAAGATCAACAAACCGACGTTTTGCGGACGCGAGTGGAGGATCATCTCCGGCAGTGATCTTCGTGGTAGCCTCGCAAGTTGACGGGGGAGAAGAGCACAAAACGCGCTGGCTTCCCCATTGTGGGAAGCACATTGTCCGGAAGCAAGCGAGAGGAAAGTGATACCCCGGTGTATTACGAAGCAGGGCGAAAACTCCATGCCGGGGAGATACTTTCAATAAGATGAAGTGCACGCTCGAAGCGGCTTCGGCATTCAGCGGGGAGTGTTTGGATCCCCGCCCTCTTCGTTACGACGTACTTTTATTATATCAGAGCAGTCTGGAGCATCGCGTTGATCACATCACGAGTAATCTAGTGTCTTGGTTTTACTTCTCCGCACGGAGAAAAAGAGTTTGCTTGACACCTAATATGGCAATGGACGAGCTAAATGTGTTTTAGTCGAAAGAAACGGGATTTCTGGTAGAGACGGAATTGTTGCTTCATAGGAACCAGAAATTGTCTGTCATCTTCAACCTCTAGTTCGTTTATCGACACGCGAATTTCACTAAATTTCCGCGCATATATTTCGACTAGACACCTCGTAAATAAATGACGAAACGTATTCACGTAATCGTAAAAATCTCGTTGTAATTTCCAACGAAAACCAAAAAAGTAAATAAATCCGAAAAGTATTCTTTTATGACGTTTATAAATGTCATTAAACATTTAGATAATATCACATTTGAATTATACGCACATACAGAGAGAAAAATGTTTGGTCGAATAAAACAGTTCTCTTGTCACATATATTAACGAATACAGAGATTCCGGTGGAAGATATCGAAATTCAATCTAAATGATTCGAGTCTAAATAATCAACATACATTTCTGGTTAATTTCAAAACTCTGCTATTTTCAATCGGAATCTCTGAATCCTTTGTATTTTTCCCAGAAAATTCGTTCATTCAACCAAACATTTTTGTCCGTGCATATTTTAATAATACGAAAATGGTGCGAAACTCATCGCGCTTTCAACCGCAACTTCATCACGATCAACCGCTGTATTTTCTTCACGATCCCTGTGATATCGATGGAGAGAAAAAAACGAGTCACCCCCGAATCACAAATCGTACTCGCAAGTAGTTTCGTCCAATTTAACGGCGCACCGACGCCGAGCCGAGGCAGTGTATTTTCATTGGCCTCGACTTGAAAATGTCGGTGCATGCGCCGACGTACGATCGCACACCGACGAGCTTTGCCATGCTATATAACGCGTGATTACTCTTTGTTAGTGTTTCGCAACCACCCTACGAAGGCATTCCGTTGGCAACAGCCGCTCGACGGCAACCCGACGGCGACGCGACTGCGTAGAGGAGGAGGATTTTTATCACTTGTCTTGCGAAAAGGGCGAGCTGACAAATTAAATTGCCCTTGGCTCCCAACTACGCGGAATAATGTAATTGTCCCCTCGTCTTTGAAATAATACCGGCTACGTCGCTGCGGCTTGCAGCGACGATGAGCGCAGCACACGGTTCGTGCAAGTGGCAGCGGATAATAACTGTTATATGGGAGAATCGAAGTGTTCGGCGCGGTCCGGTGCCGGATAAATTCGGCCGTTCGAAGAAGCAGGAAGCGTTAAAAATTCCGACATCGAGAAGGTAACTTTCGAAGAGTCGAAATTTCACGCTTCCACATCGACTAAATTATTAGGATTTTTTAACATATGCGCGATATTGACTCATCGCTTTATTGATCATGCAAAGTAGAATGAACGATCCTGCGAAAACGGTACATTTGTCGCAGCGGCTGCTTTATGTTAATATGTCTAGAGGGGAATTCATATGACTAGAAAATACTAGAAATCTTATGCTGAACGTTAGGACTGTTATGCCGGATACATACGAGGTTAATACGATAAATGCCGTTGAGTCTTGGAATATTTAATCAAACTATTGTCGCGGGATCGCGTCAATTAATATGTCAATTTCTGCGTTCAAATCATCGTGTTTACGCGAGTGTCAGTGCCACAGCAAGCGATGCAGCAAGCGGCAGAAAGTTCGATCAAGAAGTCTCGACGAAGGACAAAAGATGGCAAGACAACAACGGCAGTGTTACTCCGTTTATTCCTAGATGATAAGTCACGAGATTGTGCAAAATTTGTCATCAGACATTGTATTTTCCAATTCTGATGGATGTTTGACGAGCGATATACCCGGGCTGAAGTTTTGAATTAGTATGTTTACTATCTATTGTTATAAATTTTCTTAAAGCTATAGATGTCTTCATGGAAAGCCAATGATTTTAATTTTATTTGTATAAAAGAATTTAGATTTAAGTAAAGATACGATTATCAGTGTTTACCAAGTAAATCTTTTTTTACTTTTTTTACGTAAATCTTGAAGATGTTCGTTTCCAATACATGTTTTCAATATTATATAATCATTACTGCTGACAGAAATTTAGAATAAAGATGAAATAATTATATATATATATATATTAAAAGAGAATAAAATATATATATATATATGTTAAATAATTCCAAAATAAGTCTTCCATCAAGATTCGACAAAGAGAAGCGGCAGTAAGTAACCATTTGTAGCGTCAATATAGAACAAGAGTTTCCACGGTATTACATCTCGAGCTGCTCCGTGAGTCCTTAAAATTCGGTGGATTTTGCAAGGCTGCTGTAGAAGCAACATTTCGACTCGAGCAGATACGTCTTTTCTCAGGCTCCTCGAGGCAAGCGGATTAGACGGTCGAACGCTTCGGTCGCTCTGACAATCTTAATTCGCTCTATCCTTTTTCCCGATCGTTTGTCTGCGAATATCGTTGGTTTAGATGCCGAAATTCGAACGACTTGGTCGATAAAACCGCATCTATGTAATTCCGACGCGCTATAAGGCGCTCTCGCGAAAACGACGCGCAACGCGACATTGTAACGCGACGCCTTTCCCCAAAGTAACGTAAAGAAAAGAAGGAAAAAGCAGAAAACGACTTCGCCGCCTCAATTTCACGCTACACACGCAAAGGTGTAATTTTTTAACACGCCTCGCCGCGCCGGAAATTCCCTGTAAAAAACTTGGCCGCAAATGTGCCGCGATATATACGCGAACCCCTCTTTCTTATGGCATCGCTCGAACTTCGCCCTCTTGCCCCGCCGTTTGTTAGGCGGCGTGCCGCACCTTGAAAGAGGCTAACCGTTAGTCGCCTAAAAAGGAAACTTCTTATCTTCGCTGCCCTTTCGTTCTTACATAGCAAGACCGAGTATGAGGAGCTAAAGAAGGAGAAGGTTGAAGGGAGGGGAGGGGGGCCGCGCTCCCTCGCCCCTACCAAATTAAATTAACCACTCCCGTCCCGTAGATCTCGGCCACTGACTGCTTGAACCTCGCGCGCGCGAACCCTTTCCACGATCTTTGCGAGATAATTCAATTGCACGGCGAGTCGCTTATGTGACTATCTTGCGCCTGTTACGTCGGCGGAAGCGGTGATTACTCGCTTCCTCGCGCTTGCACCTGGCGAGCGAGCGAGCGAGCGAGCGTCGAGGAACGTGGGTAGATGCGCGACGCCGATAAGAGAGATAATTAGTAGCAACGCGCGAGCCGACGCAGATATCGCCGGAGAGCGGCGAGAAGAATTTCTGTTTAACCGCGATATCGCAACTCGACGATATCGGATCGACATTGTTTCCTAATGTGAGCAAGCAAATATAGGTCGCGGTCACGCCGTGGAATGTCTCGCCATTTGTGATAAAATTGTCATTTAATAACGCAATTTAGCTCGGCGGAATTTCCATTTTGTCGATATCGTATAATTTCAATATCAACGTTATTGTAAAAACGACCATAATCGATAATGACAATCGATATATATTAATCATGCGGCAGTGTTTTATCTCTCTCTCTCTCTCTCTCTCTCTCTCTCTCTCTCACATTGAGAGTAGAGAAAAAAAGAGATAAAATTCGCGAAAGGACATTTCGTCGAAAACTGCCACGAGCAAAACGAATGCAGATAGAAACACGGAGAATACGGTAAAAATTATCGACGGCGATGCGGCGACCACAGAGAGGCAATTTTTCGAGAGTTTGCATAATGCGCAAAACACAACGGCGGTAATGTAAATGTTAAATAATTGTCGGTCAAATAAGATTACACTTTGCGCCGTTGGTACGTTTCGCAAAATGCCTTCATCACGCGTAATTACATTTATTAGCGGCAGCAGGGTTCTCTCGACGCAACGGCGAGTCATTAGCATTTATGAAAAATGGATAAAACGATATTAATAAATTCCGATCGATGCGGAACTACACTAATGGGCACCGCTCTCGCGTGCTATCTTCGTACATCGAGAGCGGCTAACTCGTTCGGTCAAGGATGTGTCTCGTGGAATTAGAAGCCCGGTATTTTCAGCAAAACACAGGAAATAGATGGGGCGAATTCCCCTAGGAGAATTTCAAGATGGTCTGATACGGCGTTCGCTTTGTCCCTGCGCGCTCGATTCTTTCGGTCGATCGATTAACGATGACACAGCATATTTGTCTATCGGTGAAACTTTCGACCACCCACCATTACAGTATCGTTCGCTCGCAAAGTAACGCGCGCGCGCGCGTTAATGCCGAGAATCGAACACTGTTTGAGGGGCGCGATACGGTGTCAAAGGGAGAGTCGCAGCGAAGTTCACTGCGATAAACGCAAGCGTGCTCATATAATCTCCCTTTAATCCCTTAAACACGATAGCGGATGAATGCTAAACACACTCAATTAAAGCCGTCGCTGCGCGAAAACTTAGGGAATAGCTTGAAAGTAACTCACCCTCGATGGCGGTCCCGCTCGGCGTGTCTCCGGAATTATAGAGGTCATCTGAAATAGAAGTTACAAGTTTATCAACTGCGGTGTGTCTCCCCGGTTAGACGGATACTGAGCATGAATTAATTAACGCGTACTTGCGAAACACTTCATTAGATTAAACTTAGATAGCACTCTCGGGCGCGTCCATTATCTCGCGCATCGGAGATGCGGAGACCGGGCGAGTCGTTCGATCGAGAACTACTAATAAGTAAAGTAATTTTAGTCCTTAATTACGCCCCCGTTAATGACCCCGGCGCCGTAAATACAATTTAGCCTGATTAAAATACCAAATCGCGCGATACCCGGCCGAATAATTGGCGCCGATCAATCGATGAATTCGCGAGAGATTGCCACGTACGGCGAGGATTTCACGCGTTGCGGAACGTAAAGTCGCGCTCACGATGAGGAAACATCCTCCCTCTCAATTGTCATTCCATCGAAAGCAGACAATTGTAAGGCTAATCCTGTGGCACAAGCCACAGTCTTCGAACGACGTTACGTCACTTTTGAGCGCGCACCTCCAGCGACTTCTATCGGCGTTGTGTAAATTTTGATACCCAAGACGCTTGCCAGAGAATGATCCTCGAGGATGTCTTCATCGGATCTGTATGCTCGTCCGTGCGGTAACTTTTAACGGCAATATCGCCGTCGTTGCGCAGCTATCACGTGATGCGTTATACCTGCGCAACAACGCGCAGCGACTACGTTATTATTGTTGGAAGGTTAGGTACGTAGAATAGACACACACCGGCAACATTTCGCGACCGAGGCGAAATCTTTCTCGTTCTTTTGCTCGAGCGTATTTATACGCGACAGACGAGACTATCAGTACCGTTGATCTCGGTTGCGGCCATTATCAAATGCCATTGATATTACCGGCATCGACCAGCGTTATACATCACGAATTTGTTTAGAGGTGAGCAGTTCAATATTTCGCGCGACCGCGAACGTTTGTTCACACAAATATCCGAACGATTAATATAGCGAGTAAATTTTACACAACATCAATGCGCGCGTCCCGAGTAAATACCGAATTATCCGAAAGTGTAGGTACACCGATGCGGATTATTTTTTTCTCGGACGACTACCTCGGTATTTGCTTCACTCGTGTGTTTATCCCGTCATACAATCGACCATCGCCGCGATATTTATGATTCTTCGAAAAATTACCGTTTGCGATATTTTCCACTTCACGCAGATCGCACGTTCGAAACGTGATGAATATAGATACCAACGAACCTTCTTTGAAATAATAATAACAATAAAACTTCTTTGAAAAAAAAAAAAAAATGCAGCATTGATGCTCCTCTAACGTAAATTTCTATCGGGGACTAATTTGCCGTGAAATATTTTATTTATTTTACTTATTTTGTATCGTTCGATATAAATTTTCTGAGATGCCAAATAAACATTTTGTAGTAATTGCACAAAAATAGGGACCACTTCCCGATTTCAATGATATTGAGATATGTTATCGAGTATATCACTCTGAGTAATGTTGCGGAGGTTTTTGGCCCAAAAATTTTTCATCGATCCTTCAGGTTCAATAGAATCTGCAGAATAGAACGCAGAATCAACATTTCGACTCGGATATAAATATTTCATATAAATATTTCTGTCTTTCAAGTATTCCACTCGAGCGTTTCATGTAATACGTACTTTGCACAATTAATGGCATTTGTAATCGTTAACGTTTATTTCAACACATTTTTCTCTTATGTATACTTTAACATCGTATATTTTCTTTTACATTTTATATTTTATATTTTCATATTAATCTAATAATCGCGTAATTCTTTGGTACTGTTAATCACGTTTAGTAAATATCTGGGATATGTGTGGAATAATTCTCTCGGGATCTATTTTAACTCGACGTTAGTCGCGATATTGTGCGCCCATGAGTGCTCGCAATGTAGATACGCTAATTGTTACCCCATTACTTGCCTCTGTTTCTTTCAATAATTCTTCTCTCATCAGCATATGGCTGATTTGCCACTAAAGTACACAAGAAACAGCGAGAAAAAATTGACAGGTATTAAAATGAATGAAAAATCTCGAGGCCATGTAGCAACGTTGAGATACGTTGCAGCCTGAACGTGGATATCCATTGGATACTGCGACTAACAGACAATTATTAATCTTCATCGCAAACATATCTATACCTCATCTATTTGCTCTTATATTCCGCCATCCAATAATCTAATAATATTCCGCGCTCAAATTGAACTCGAGTTATCCAGGTTTTGGTCCGCGCGCTAGCACACCTCCGTACTATTTCAGGCAGCTTACTTTACAAGATTACGAGATGTGAATAATAAAGAGCAACACCGGTCAACATTGACTCTGCCGCCTTTTAATACGTTATTCACGCGCTGATGTCGCGCGTTTATACGTCGCGCGTTAATTTCACGCAATCTCTCTCGCGCGTGCGCGCGCGCGAGAGGCGTTAATCTACAAACGAGAGGCCTTAACAAAATTATAACGTGTTCCTGTCCCTGTTTCCAAGATAGCTTCATAATTTATCCTCCGTAGGATGCACTCCGAAGGTCTCCGCTGGGGATTAAGTTGAATCTAACGATCAATAAAGCGTTCGTGTAATGACCCAATTATTAAGTTATCGGCCGCTGAAGTGTGCGAGAGACTGTAAGACACAGACACAGACACACACTATCCCTCTCTCTCTCTCTCTCTCTCTCTCTCTCTCTCTCTCTCTCTCTCTCTCTCTCTCTCTCTCTCTTTTCCTCTCTCTTTCGCTCGCTCACGACCACGGTGATTACCCGTAATCTTACACACCCACATACCGTGCAATTAGATCATCGTGAACGGCGACGCGACATCTGACATTTTCAGATTGGACTTGACCGTCATAACAAAACGATGATCCGTCGCGTTACGTCAATCACGTCCGTCGTCCTTCGCGTTCTCGCGCTCGACGCAATTGCGCGTGGTAATGTCCAGGCCCGAGCCGGGGATCGACGACACTGAGAGCGCGTTCTCACGATCGCGCAATTCCTCCGGTGACCCGAAATGTCGGCCGAGAAATTATAGATCTCGCCCGCCTCTAAAGGGTGCGTCTAACAATAAGTACTTGGAGCAGGCTGTTTTTAATCCGCTGACGTACTTCGTAAGTCGAAAATATAAGAGACGGTTTATAACGACGTGACCGACGTGATTTCTTCGGAGGGGAATTTTTCCGCCGTTAATCGACTCGTCCTAAGGGGTGCGAATGGGAACTCTTGGTGCGCATTACATCTACAGCAACTCGGATACTCAGCTCTTCCACTCGTGAAGACCCCCGAGTTTCACTTGTTTCCGAAAAGAATTCGCCGACCGATACCGTTCTCTGATACCGACCGTTGAAACGTCTCCATCGTTTTCCGCGGATGTCGGTCGCTTCGTGCGTCGTGAGGGTCGTTCGTGCACACATGAAGAAGTCGCGCGTGTAGAATTGACCATTCTCCTTGAAAAGATACTGTCTTTTTCTTTTTCTTCCTCTTTCCCTCCCTCCCTCCCTCCCTCCCTCTCTCTCTTTCTCCAAAGACGTTGGCGCGTCCTTCGAAACTCTGCATGTAGTAAAGCGGAGAAACGAAGGTTTTCTTAGGACCTTGCCGAGTCAGCACTTCTAACACAATATGACTCTACGTTGTTTCGTCGTACTACGAGAGTAAAAAGCGATTGGATCCGGGACGTGAGAGGAGTACCTATGAACGCGCGAGGAGACGAAAGTGCGAAATTGCCATGGGTATAAAGGATCGAGGGATGTCCCGGAATGTTTCATAAACGCTCTCATACGACGCTACGGAGTGAGAGGCGCGCGCGAACGGACGAAAATATATTTCGAATCTGAAAACGCAATGTGAAGAGAGAGAGAGAGAGAGAGAGAGAGAGAGAGAGAGAGAGAGAGAGAGAAAGAGAGAGAGAGAGCGGAGAGCGGTGAAAGCGCGCGGTCGTATCCTCGCCGCGTGCGACCAAGCGCGATCGTATGGTTTTCCCTTAGGGAGCAATCTGAAACAATCAATCATGTTTCCGCGAATGGAAGAGACGAGAACAAGTCTGAAGAAACTTCTCTTATTACCGAACGATAGATTAATTTTCTACTCGATACTCTATCCCTAATAACATCATCGTTTACTTCGGACAGGAATGCATTTATGATCTTCGAAACTCGCAGTTCCGAAGTGTAAAAGTTCCTCGCGACAATACCTCCTTCCCTCTCTCGCACTAATGAGTGCGAAAGAAGAAAACAGAAGAAATGCATTTGGGACTCTTGAGTCGCGCCGTTGGTCTCGCAAAGAATCTCGAAAGAGCCGAGCGAAGCGAGAGTCGCATTACGACGCTCGACCGGTATCGCGAATAAGGAGTAACAGTTCGTGTTTCACCGTTGACGTTCTCAACGATACAAGAATGTAGTCGTCGTCGTTTTTTATAGGGATTGTTTAAACCTCAACAGCGCTCGAACGGCTCGGATGAACGTATGTCGACATCGCTCGCTCGCAAAGTGAAAACCCATTTCAGACGGATTCTTGCCGTATGGCATTTAATTTACGCCCGCTGAGGCGCATCGGCGAAGTTTTATTAGTACCCCGCAATACGGCTCGCAATTCGCCCCGTATCCCGTAAATTAGCGTGTCGAATAAGTTCGCCATGGAAGCGCGACGACGACTAGTTGTTAGGCTACGACATAAAATGAATCGGGCATAATGGCCCGGCATAAGCTGGAAATTGAAGGTGTTGCAAAGTCGATCTCGTCGCCAAACTTCTCGCCGGCAGTGTAAATTCGCGTCGCACGCGTTATTAAACGAATTAATTTCTGCTAACGACAGGTCGCCGACGGCAACGAGCAATTTAAGCAATATGTATATATGTGCGTAGATACGTACGTGTATACCATCGAAGGCAACTTCGTTATTATCCCATTGTTAACCGCGCGCGCTTTTAATGGGCAAATAAGAGATGCTCGCGGAACATATTAGTTCGACATAAATCTCTGACCTCCTCGTTATATCGGCGCTTTCGAAAACACGATATTATTATCGCGACTTTCATTAAACAATAAATAACGCGGTATTTACCGCGCCAATGTTTAATAAACCGCGAACGGTTTAATTTAACGCAACAAACAAAAGAGAGTGGACGTGTTGATCATTCGGCGAAATTAGTTTTCTCGTATTTCGGTCGCTCGCGACGAAAGGAATACCAAAGTCCTCTCTCTGGTAAAGACTCTGCGCGAGTCTCTCTCGGTGTGAAAATGACGGTCCTCCCGTATCCTCTCTCGCGTCTCTTTCCTTTCTCTTCGCGACCCTTTTTATTTCGGGAAATAAACGCACTCGAGCAATCTAGGGTACGGGACGAGCTGGAGAACAACAACGAGATTATTTCGAGTTAACTCAGTCTAATGGAATTTGGTTATTTTCGCGTGGGATAAATTCACGCGTAAAAATCGCCGCCCGTTGTGAACGAGTTGTATTCCGGGAACGTCAATACGAACGTAATGGAGACACAATGCGGCTCGATCGTGCACCGACTATATACATATCGTGTGTATTCGTTACTACACACCCTGTACATGGGCGTATATATTTCGCAACAGCCGTCACATCGCGTCGCGGCCGGAGGTGTAACACGTCCGCGACGCGAGATCAATAATTTTCTCTTTTCTCCTATTTTTTCATTGCGCCCAATTAACCGGGGAACAATTACCTCCAATGAAGTTCGAATAAAATCCACGGGTACCGGATTCACCGAGTCAGCCAGTCGATTTCGCTGCGAGGGACGATACTGCCGAAATGCGTCTCCATTCAGATCACTTTTCCGCGCCGCGCCGCGGATGACGACTCGTCGTAAATCCGCCGGAATATCCACCGCGGGAGAATAATGACGACGACGCCCGGCGCGATAAAGCGCGTACTTTCGCCATAAATGGCCAAGTTAAACGAGTTTCGGCCGTTCGATGTTTTCACTATGCGACTATGCGGCGTACACGAGCGCGCGGAGTTATTCCGCCGCGCGTCGCGAATACGCGATTGAAACGTGAAACATTTCAACAGGGCGTGCGCGCGCGCGCGCGCGAGAAAGCGACATCCACTCGGTAATCGCACAACTGGTTAATCAACTCGGTCATTTGTCAACCTCGAGTCCGAGTCAACCGCCTCGTCGAATCCGCGAAGCGGCGCGCGCGCGACGGCTCATGATTTTAATTTAGAGAATAGCACTCTCGTGCGCGCGGCGTCGCACCCGAAACGAACTTGGCTGGCTGCTTCTTTTGTTCCTCTTTAGGACTTAGAGATTTTACTCGTATACTTAACTCGCCGGCAAAGGAACAATCCGTCTACTACCTTCATAGAACGTACGCGATTAAACTTTTCTCAACGAATTGAATTTAACTTTCTGCACCGGGCGGGGGGTAACTACTTTTGTTACTCGCTCACCAACAACCTCGTTACACGTTGAACACCGCGCACTATGCCGAGATGGACTTTTGGAAGTTGCAGCCGAAGAGGGAAACGAAGACTATTGATTCTGAGCAACTCCGAGTGAGAGAGCTCTGCTCATAACTATTATGGAATCGGCCGCGTGCAGTTGTTGCTGTCGACGCGAGCGAACGTCGAAGAGGAGAACGATGAAGATCGGGTCGGCACGGTCCGTTCGCGATCTGTCACTGCACTGCGTGTGGCAGCGCAGCGCTCGTACTCTCTCAAAAGTGGAGTTCTTTCTTCCTCTGCACGGAGGGGATTAACATACGATTGATTCGAATTTTTCACGTCCGTGCGGATCGCGATTCCGATCGCGAGGTGATCTCTTTCCTCTCTCTCTCTCTCTCTCTCTCTCTCTCTCTCTCTCTCTCTCTCTCTCTCTCTGTTGCGCGAATTCGAGCTCGACTTTGAGCAGCTCGGATTTGAGCACGGAGTGAAAGTTGAAAACATTGAATTAACGCGACAATGAACGAACGAGTGAACGAACCAAAACGCGTTTTGTTTCAAGGCAACAGAATCTCCGGTCTTTAGAATTTGTCTCAGAAGAAATCACACTAGTTCGTCGCCACGTTATTTCAAGCCAACTTTTTCCCTCATGCGGGTGGCAATTTGGACGACGAGGATTTCTCCCCCCTCTCTCTCTCTCTCTCTCTCTCTCTCTCTCTCTCCTGCGTGTGAAATCGAGTTCGGTTTTAAATGGATCATGCATGGAGGAAAATATTGCGGATTAACGCGACAATGAGCGAATCACACGCCTTTTATTGGAAAAGAACTTCTGGTTCTTCAAACCGAATTTATTTCATAAGAATCAGAAACTCTGTTCCCCTCGACCGTTCAAGTCCGCTCATCTTCACGTCAGTTCTACCAGACTTCTTCCTCCGTGTGGGAAATCCTCACCGTCGATGGTACCGTCGTGCCTGACCCGAACAACAACATTCGGGCAACGTTCAGTCAGCGAGGCGCACCCTCGCAGCGTGCACGACGTCGCGTGCGAGCCATTCGATCAACCCCGATTAATTCGCGCACGGACGACCTGGGCTCGCCAGAAATCACGTTGGATAATCGCGGAAATCCATAAGAAGCGACCGCGCGCGCGAGTTAGCAGACTGACGCAATCTTTTTGCGCGCACGCCTGTTTTTGTGCGTTTTAATCAGAAACGACGTGGCCGATAACGAAGGAGCGGGTGAACGAACGACGTTGCGTCACGAACGTGGCCTCCAGCTGTCTTTTTCTCATTACCGGTATACCACCGTCTGTATCTCCTTCGGTCTGGCTTTCTCGTTTTTCTTAACTGTTGTCTTCGCCTCTCCGGCACTATTTATATTTTCTTTTCATTAACGCCGTGCCATCGTGCGCGCGCTGTCCCGACACTGCGCGTTCGACTCTCTCTCTCTCTCTCTCTCTCTCTCTCTCTCTCTCTCTCTCTCTCTCTCCCCCTCATTCGCCTCTCGCTACCGTCTCTCTTCTTATTCATCTCTTCCATCCGCGCTCGCGGACATTGCCGCGCTGATGAGGCAAGACAGCCGAAAAGGTATATACGCGTTCATCTCGGGTAACGAGCGATGATAAAAATATAGCGGTTCATATCGAGCAGGATGAGAATGTCCCGCTCGAATGACGGCTGTCAAATCGGACGCGACGGACTCCTTCGAGTACCGAACCGGTTCCCGATCACGGCCGACTTTTTCCACTTGCTTCGTTGGAACACGCGCGAGTACGAATATAGTCGCGCGCAGTCTGATCTAATAATAGCATGAACGGAATAAAAGAAAAAGAGACTGAGATTTCGTCTCTCTCTCTCTCTTTCTTGTTCTCTCCTTCGACGAGCGACGACTCAATCACCACGGGCGAATTAACGAAACAAACGACGTCGCTCACAATTGATCGCGCGATTAACGTCGCTTCGGTGAGTCCGCAACGCGAGTCTGGTAAATCGAGTCTCTCGCGCTCGCGCGCGATATTCCCAAGCCGGTCGGGCGATCGAGCTGGGAATAGATGCGATGATGCGACAAGGGGTTAATAATTTCTCTTAACAGGTACCAGCCGAGAACATTCAGCGACGCTCGACAAAGAGACAGAGACTGTCACAAGTACGCGGTGACATTCGCGAAACGACACCATTCGAACGATCTCTATCCCTGACCCATTCATGAACGACAACGTCGCTCCTTTTTACGCGAAATCGATCCCGCTCCTCCTTCTCTTCCCGTCACGTCAGCGATTCGTATCGTGAAATCTGCGATGTGACACGCGCAAGCCTGATATATAGACAAACAGGATGCTAAAGCGAGCGACAAATCTGTCGACTCGCTGTAATCGTCGCGACGGCGTAATTATATAAATCGCAACTGTGCTTCTTTCTAATTAATAAGATTACGTTAAAGATGGACTGTGTGTGATCCCCATTCCGATTCAACCCGCCATCTCTTTATCTCAGCCATCTTTTTATCTCTCTCCATCTTAACGACTTTGGTATAACGATAATAACATTCCCGTAGAAAAAGTCCTAGATATTGGTAGCATCTCTTCTACCTCCATCGGTTCCATTTATTTATCTACCTGTCTATCTCTTTCTCTTTACACCGGCTCGTATCGATTATCCACCGATACAACGGCTCAATCGCCGTTCAGTTTTCAAAGGGACGCACACTAAATCGGAGCAAACTGCTGTGCTCGCGCTCGCGCGACTTTCACCGCGATTACACAAGTTCCCGTGCCGGCTCTGACGAACGGGGATAATTAAAATTGATAGCCGCGCGTTACGCGCATTACGGCCGATTCCCTCCATAGACGGAGGCATAAGCCCGCCATTTGACGAATCAGCTGTGAAATTAATTTCGCCATTAGTGCACTTTGACGCACATTATCGCGCCGCCGGGACGCCGGGACGCCGTGACGCGCGCGCGCGCGCGCTGTTCCGCGTCGCGCCGCGTCCCATACATCACGCGCTCATATGCAATGAATGCGTCCTACCGTAAGCAATTTTCGCCTCCAAATTGAGCTTGCACTCGTGCCGCGTCATGTACATGTAGGGCCGCGGCTCACCCGGGCACCACGGCACCGACGGACCGCAAACGCATTTGCCGGCGACCGCCGCATTTCCGCCCCCGCCCCCGGCCCCGGTCCCGGCCCCGGCCCCGGCTGTGACTCCCTCGCCGACCAGGTTGCAACCGGGACCCGACATTATCGGCCCGTGCGGACAGTGCCTCCTCCATCTGCCCGGGATCTCTGGAAAGCAGAAAAACAGACAACGTAAGAGTGCCGTCGAGCTTCCAAGCTTTTGACTTTTCCTTATCCAAACCGGTTTTCTTTCGCTTCTGCTCTACCGATTGAAATCTCTTATCGTTAGACACAGAGATGATAGATCTCGTTAAAGTTTATTTATTCAGCCACCGCTGCGGCTCTCAGATCCGAGAGGAAATACATTTGGTAGATGAAAAGTGTATCTTCCCCTTTCTACGTTGATCCCGATTGAAATCTCTTATATTGTTAAATATAGAAATGGTGATTTTTCTCGAAATTATTTATTTCACCCGGAGGGTTTGACGAACCCGATTAAAATCTTCCGGACTCTCTCGAAACTTTTCCGCATCAGCAACTGAATGATTGTGTAATTTATCGCCGCTACATCGATGACAGTTATAACCGGGGATGATATATAATATGCAATGACGCATTGTGTTATTATTACAGTACAGTGCATATAGTGCGTTACATTGCATTAATTCTGACTGATTATTATATTCTAATTGTACACTCTACGAGATTTTTATCGCTATTAATATTATCACTATAAACTGTAATTAATGACGGCGTAATGGCAGACCGTGAGTGTACGCGCAATGTTAAGAAGGCATCGTCTGTTTAAAGTTTTATCGCTTTCATCTCCATTGCGACAAATCGATGGAACATCGATGCGATGCGAGAAAAGCAGGCAGTCGTTCAGCCGGGTCTTTTATTTATCGCGAACCGATTGTGAACAATTGGTTGAACGACGGCGATTGGATTCAAAGTCGCGAAGATCGACGGGCGACGCGCGATCGTTCCTCGACGGCTAAGCTGCTTTTATTATTCAACATGCGACAGCGATTGCAGCTTTATTATTTAACGAACGATCGCCCGGTTTTCGCGAACGCTCCGGTTCGTTTTCCCCTCGCGCTCGCGCAATGTGATTTTTCGGCAAACGTAACTCACGAGTGAGATGGGATCCGAAAGACTGGCGAGAGAAGGGTCGAGAGAGAATGGGGAGCACAGTGGAGGAGGATTAAACAATGTGTTTACGTTATCGCAGTGTTGTTTACGCGTGCACGCGTGCTTATCGCGGGACACCGTGTAATCGAGTTAATTTCGCGTCGAGATAGCGACGCTATTGTCGGGGCGGATTATTACGATGCGCATCGGACGGTGAGATTGAAAAACCGATCTCGATCGGAAGCGCGCGGGCGCACGCGCGCATGCGCCCGAACGCTCGCTCGCACGCTCGCACAATATCGATGAATAATGCTCGGAATTTTTGCGTGTCGGTCAGCCTGCGCACACACGCGCTCGATCGCACGTGTTCCATACGGAAGGGAAAAAAAAATTGCGCGTAGTTCGAGTCCGTGTCGGTTCGACGACGTATCGTTCATGGATACTCAAACTACTCTCAGGCTTTGCGCGCGGCAAATTCTCTCTCTCTCTCTCTCTCTCTCTCTCTCTCTCTCTCTCTCTCTCTCTCTCTCTCTCTCTGCCTTTCTCCCTTTGCTTTTTTCTCTCTTTCTCTCTTCCCTTCCCCCTCACATCGCCGTACCGTCCGGTACTCTGCGCGCCCGATCAATGATGTTTCATACCTACCGTAATCCGGATTACTACGCAGGCGTCATCGAGAGAGAAAAATCCCACGCGGACGCGAGGGAGACGCGGTGTAACGAGAAATTGCGAGGAAGTGCGGGCGTAATAGCGCTCCTCTCTGGCGGATCTGGCGAAAAATTCCAGGATCACGCATCCGTGGCGAATTCGCAACGGCGGAGCAAGTCGAGTATCGATAACGGCGCAATTACAAGACTGTCAGCATCGCTAGACACTGTGCATATACGACGCTCATCGTCGTCGTCGTCGTCGTCGTCGTGTCGCCGCTATAGTCGTAGTCGGTCGGGTCGAGACAGGACGAGCAAGCAGTGAGTACAGTTCCGCCGATACCCGAGGGAGTATAATGCGGTCGTCTAATGAGACGTGGTGTGTACCCGGACGACAAATTCGAATTCAATTGCGTCCGCCGCACTATCCGGTTACGGTGACCCGGCGAGCGGAGGTATCGGGAGAGCGTTTAAACGCCGCCGTTATTTCCAGGAGAAAGGAGAGCAATTAACTTACACCGTTGGCGTGAAATAACCCGACGTCACGGAAGGTGGAAAAAAAAAAAAGAAGGGAAAAGAGGGAACGGGGAGAGACAGTCGAGGGAGAAAGGGCGAGCACAGAGAGAAGGGAAATGGAGTGAGAGCGCAACGTCGACGCGGGCAGAAACGGAATCGGGACGATCAACCAGCCGGATGCTGAATCGAGGCCGAGGCAGCGGGTTATTCGACACGAAGGGCGGTTACGACCTCGTGATAACCCGGCCCGTGACCACGATGACCCCTCTCCCCCCCCCTCCTCTTTCCCGTTGGCCGTTCTCGAGCGCGGTGCGTTCCGATCGATAAGTTTAATAATCCATAGACGGGCTGCGGAGAAAATCGAATTTGCCGATCGGTTTACCCTCCGGCCCTCCTAAATGCGAATTCATTTCGAGTTAATGGCTAGAATGCGCTCCCGTCTAATTGCCCGCGGCCGAGCGAGAGATACACACACGCTGGCCCAGAGTGTGCGAGCGACAACACCGAGAACGGCGCACGGATTCTTCCTCGCGATTAAGAAAATCGCGCGCGCTCGAGCGAAGGAGCGCCTCAAGAAAATGGGCTCCCGTAAAGCCAGGCCGGACACGCTCGGATTCACCGTCGCGCGAATCGCGCGCGCCAACGTTCCTGCGCTCGTGTCGGCAGCAAGCTCTCGCCTTGCTCCTCGGTGACGACTCGGCTTTCCGCCATCCTGAATAATCCTGAATCGTTGTACGATTTCTTATCACACGAACGTCTCAGCAGAGATTACACCCGATTGGCCTAGGAAAGCTTGCTCTGCCCTGAGGTCACACGTGGAGCTAGTGAAGGGTCCCGCGAGCGATGCGGAATTTTGCGGGAAAGTTCGTCGTCGTTCACATTAATATTAAACGCGAGTATTCCAACATTTCGCTCGGACGTCGGGATATCAGAGGTGTGCGGAGAAATATCTTTCGCAAATTCTTGATCTCACGGGTAATTCAAACCCGATCGGGAGAGGCCGCCTCGTTATCATGCGAGACAGGATTAATTAATTTATTCCGACGGCGCCACGTCTGCCGGTGAAGTGCGCAGTTTGCCGATGAAAAACGCCGAGTCACCACTTCGGACGCAAATTCATTTCGAGTTAATGGACCGTGCGTGGACGATCATGCCAATTGGCCGTGACCGTTCAGGATGCACATTTCCGCTTTTGCGTACACTACACTGGCGGTCCTGGCCGGTGTAGTAGCTCGAAATGCGCTCTAAGGGGGAGGGAGAGAGGGGAGAGAGAGAGAGAGAGAGAGAGGATGTGCAGCTATAGTTGTTGTATAACCGTGTAATGCCGGCTTACACGGAGACGCATTCGCTATTGTGTCATATTAATATAATCCGTTGAACCGTCATATTTTCCATAATGCATCAAGGACAGGTTTGCTTACCTGTCCTTCCCTCCCTCCCTCCCTCCCTCTCTCTCTCTCTCTCTCTCTCTCTCTCTCTCTCTCTCTGTCTCTCTTTCTGTGGAATTTCTTTCGAAATGGAGGGATCTCGTGTGCAAAGCGGGTTTTCGACAAACTGCTTCCGCGTGAGCGTGAAAATTTAATAACGTTAATGAATACCAACGTCGGCCGGCGCGTATCGTTCTTAGTCAGGTTGAATTATTCAAAGCTGCACGACATGGCGCGAACAACGTTTTCCGCGAGCGACGATAATTTTCAACGGTTCTCGTAATGTACTCGAATTTGACCCAGTAATATAAATAATATGCCGTCTCATATAATTTTGATGAGACAGTGCAATATACGCGAGCATGCGTGAGTTGTTATTGCCTCAGCGAAGGGCACAGTAATTCGCGCGCGATATATGCCGCCGGCTTACTGCAAATAATATAACCCTACGGTTAGCTTAAGCTGCAAAGTGGTCAACGAATCGATGAATAAATTCGCGATTATCGGAACAAAAATATCGTTAATTCATCGACGAGCCGACCGGCGCGAACTTACGCGTAGCGTTCATTTTCGATCATGGCGTTACGGAATATACAGGATGTCCGGAAACTCAAGTCTGAAAATTTCAGGCGCGCAAGTAGACCGGGTGAGAGTGAGCGGAAAATTCTCCTACCATGTCGCGAACAAACACGTAACATTTGAAAGATATTAAGAGACGAAAACAGACCGATCAGTGTGCGGGATACTGCGACGAACTTTATAGGCACGGTCTCGTCGAAAATGTCTCGAAATGTCACGTGGTCGTTTGCGAAATGCCATAAAAAGAATGTTCTGCTCAGTTTCAGCCAATTTATCTACGAGCGACAGGATGTGTCAGGAATTTCCGGACACCCTGTACATGTCGTACCGATTAACCAGTGTTAAGCTCGCCGAGTTATCGAAAACATGAACGATCGGTGTTGCGAGAAATTCCCCGCGCTCACGACGACGACGCGCCGACGAAGAGAGCGTTGCTTTTTCTACATCGCTCGCGCGCGCGCGCGACGTAGCGCGAAATGCAGATTCTCAGTTACCAAAATGAATGAAGTCGCGAAGAATAAAGGCGTTCTGTCCAGCCGGGTTAGGTAAAACACCCCGGCGAGAAGCGAGCAGCAACTTCATCAACCGACACGGCTATATTAAGGACGCGGCAGTAAAGAATCATGAGCCCTTGGAAAAACATAAAACTACTACGAGTTACCGCGGGATCTTTCACAAAGCCCATTCTCTGCGCGCGTAACGCGCGGGAGGACGGCCCTTCGAAACGCGCCCTTTTGAAACAAGCCGCGATGATTTATTCTCTCGTGCGTGTCTGGACACGTTCGCGGAGGAGAGTAATCGCGCGGCGCCATTAATACGCGGCGGTCGCTTCGCGTTGGCGCTGTCCCGCCGATGACTCGACAATTCGACG